AAGGAGTCATGGGAGGATAAAAGTGATATTTTGATATTAGAGCCAAATTACATTTGAATATAGAATTAAATTGAAATATACGAACTATTATGAATTAGCATTGGTTATATTAAGATTTAACGACTAGTATAGAAATACTAGTCGGAAATGTTAGTTCAATGGTTCGTTGGAGCTAATCCCAATATATTGAATTGTGGTGGGCACGCCCTAAATAACCTTAAAAGATATTTTTAAGGTGGACTTTATGAACCCAAGTTACATTAGGAGTAGGCCTTAAGGGTTACTCAAAATGGATGGAGCCTAGACTAAGAAGTTGTTTAGGGATTAGATGATGTGACTATGAGCCGAGCTCTAGCACGTGGTAGTATGACTATGAGCCGAGCTCTAGCAAAAATGTAATATGACTATGAGTCGAGCTCTAGCAACAATGTAGTATGACTATGAGCCGAGCTCTAGCGAAATGTAGTATGACTATGAGTCGAGCTCTAGCAAAATGTAGTGTGACTATGAGCCGAGCTCTAGCACAAATTAGTATGACTATGAGCCGAGCTCTAGCATGAAGGAACGTGAATTAATGATAAAATAATAACACCCTAGATTGAGGGTCTTGGAAATTGGAACTTTGATTATACTTAGTATAGTTGTCATTGTACTTGTCAAATGCTTCCAAGTACTGACCTCCCCTTCACGGAGGAGGCCACCTCACAGTTTCAGGTAGAACTTGAAGGTTGCTACCATTGTCGTTGCTTCGGAAGGATCCAAGGAGAGGAGACGTGGTTCGTGCTTCCTCCGTTTCTATTTTACAAACATTTTAATTAATGCTCATGGATATTATTTTTAAATATTTATTTGGGGCTTGTATGCCTATGTTTGCCAAAGTGTGGCATGAACACTTGTATCAAATGTTCCGCTGCTTAAATGAATATTTTACATTATGTTTGTTTATGGATGTACTATGTGTGAATGATATTCCAGACGCCTTGTGTAGTATGGATGTGTTGGACTGCGTTTGACTATTCGTACTGTACGGCGGATTGTCGACGTGTCCGGCTAGGTCCGGGGCGTGACAGGGTGGGGGTAGGGTGGGGTCAGGATCGGGGTGAGGCCGAGGTAGGGGCATGTCGTGGGGGTATGGTACGGGGTAGGGGTGGTAAGGGCTGCTAGGGGGTGGGGATCGGGATGGGGCTGAGGTAGGGGCAAGTGGTAAGGAGTGGGGGTAGGGTCGTGGTTAGGGGTTGATGGTGGGTAGAGTGAGGTCGGGGTAAGGTAGGATAGGGTAGTGTTGGGATAGGGGTTGGGGTGGGGTTGGGGTAAGGTAGGGTAAGGGGGAGGGTAGGATGGAGGTAGGGTGGGGTCGGGATCGGGGTGGGGCCGAGGTAGGAGCATGTGGTAGGGGTAGGGTAGTAGGGTGGGTTTAGGGTAAGGGTAGATGGCGACAGGGTGGGACTGAGGTAGGGGTAGGGTAGAGGTAAGGGGCAGGGTAGGGTGGGGACGAGGTAAGGTATAGGGTAGGGTGGGATCGGGGTAAGGGGGGTAGGGGTAGGATGACGGTAGGGTGGGGCCGGGATCAAGGTGTGACCGAGGTAGGGGCATGTGGTAGGGATGGGGTCAGGGTAAGGTAGGGTAGGGTAAGGTGGGTCGGGTGGGGTCGAGGTGGTAGGGGTGGCGGTAGCTATGGATCAGGGTGGGGCCGAGGTGGGGCATGTAGTAGGGGGTGGGGTAGGGTCGTTGTAGGGAAAATGGGGGGTACGAGTGGGGTAATGGTCGGGGGTAGGGTAGGGGTAAGGGGTAAGGTATGAGGATGGAGGTAATGGGTAGGGTGGGGTCGGGGTCAGGATAGTAGGGTTGGGCGGGGTGGGGGTAGCGGTAGCGGGGGTAACAATAAGGTAAGGGCAAGAGGTAAATTCGGAAACTGAAAAAGCTTAAAGTGTCGCTTAATTAATACATGGGGGGTGGTATGCTTAGTAAGCGGCACTTTAAGCACCTCTTTCAGTTAGTAAGCGGCTTTTTAAGCAGCGTGCGTGTTTACTTCAACTGTCTTACTAACCTAACTGTGACTTTAGCAGCGAAGTAAACACCTCCTTAATGATGCCCAACACAATGACTCCACCACCGAGAAGAAAATGCTGGTCGTCTTTCAAAAGTTGACTACAATAGAAGTGTGAAGTTTGATTTGAACCAGTTAAAAAAAGAAAAATGTGAAGTATATTTAGGAAGGGAGGGATGAATACCTATTGCTAAGATACTTAAAAAAACAAAAAAAAACCGAGTCCGAAAAACGGGAAAGCGAAAACCGAATTAAAATAAACCGAACCGTAACCAAACTAAGCCGAACCGACAAAAACCAAAACTGAACCGTAGGTGTTGGTTCAGTTTCGGTTTTGCCCCTTCAAAATCGAACTGAACCAAATAAACTGAACCAATTAAAATATGATGTTTTATTTGCTAAACGTTAAGGATGAATCCTAATATCATCGATAATCTTTGATTTGTTTGTACTAGAAAATTAGTGTGTTGTGTTATACGTTTACCTTATTTTTATTATATTTGTGGTTTAGTTTACTTTATAAATGCATTTACACTTTTCATTCCCTACAATAATATAATTATATTGATCTATTATGTCTTCTACGTATGTATATTTTGCAGTTTGTTGCATGACGCCAATATGTTTTTATGCTCATGACTAGTATTTTACTATTTTTTAGGAAAAATTGAAAATAATAATTCCAACTATTGCCAGTCCGCTGATAATAATCCCAACTATTGATTATTTTTGTATAATCCCAACTATATGGATCGTCCGCCAATAATGGTCCATGACGAGATCTTACCTCTTATAAAAAGTGAAATTTAAATAGAAATTAAGTATAAAAATTAAAAGTTGAGATTATTTATAGGGATTAGTTGTTATATCTCTCCTCATCCACTTTAGAAACTACATGAATTTATTTATAGGGATCATTATTGGCGGAAGGTCCCTAATGTTGGGATTATTCTGAAATAATCGATAATTGAGATTATTATGAGCGGACCGCCAATAGTTGAGATTATTACTATCAATTTTTCCTATTTTTTATTTTTATGTTACCCAAAGTTTTTACATTCACAAAACAAATAAACATTAATCTCAACTATGCCTCATAGTATATATGATTATTTTTCAAACTAGTAAAAAAATATAAATTTTGTTTCAAAAAAGTACTCCCTCCATCCCTGAATTATCTTCAAACTTTCCTTTTTCGTCCGTCCCAAAATTATCTCCTCTTTCCCTTTTTGACAAAGAATTTGTGGTTCACAACCATTCTTACACATTCTTATACATTTCTCTCTCCTCTGCACAACTCTTCACCACACAAAACCCACTTTCTTAAATAACGTGCCTAACCGAAATGGGAGAAAGATTAGGGACAAAGGGAGTAAATAAGATTATGTACATTTGTTTTTCCAAAAAGTTGAAAATATGTTTTCTTTCACACATACTCATATTATTCAAGACATATTTATTTTTTCTCGTTTTATCTTATTTTATTTTCCCTGTATGATTTCATTTTTTTTTATATAATATGCTTGATCCCCTCAACTATTATATCGTTTTAAATCAAATGAATTTTTTTTAGTAAAAAATCGATCCAATGTAATTGAACTGAAACAAATCGAATCAATTAAACCATGTTTCAAGTTTTGAAATTCAAAACCGAACCGCAACCGAACAATTTTTTTTACTTGGGTCCATATTTAATTTTTGACCCATAGTAGTGCTCCGTATTACTCATACCTTATTATAATAAAAAAAAATGGAAAATGCTAAGTATACACACCATGTACACAAGTTGTACATGGTATAAAAGCAAAAAAAATCTCATTTCCTCCTCCATCTTCTTCCTCTCTCTTCCTTCTCTCTTCTTCCTCTCCCCCTTCTCTCTTTCCTCTTTACCCAATCTCTTCTAAAATTCTCAACAACAAAAAAATTATCTTCTTCATCCTCCTATTTCCTTCTTCATCCTCTTTTTCTCTACCTTTACTTATCAATTTTTTTTTTCATTATTTGCACAAAATCAACTTATTCATCTTATTTCATATATTTTTATTATGTTTCTAATTTTATTCAAATTAATGTAAATTGATTACACATACAACTACATCCTTCATTTGGATGTATGGGGGTGTTTGGAAGTGATTCTGCTTCTGCTTTTTTTAAAGCAGAAGCAGAATCAGAATCAGTTTTCAGAAACTAGTACCCCCAGCTTCTAAAAAAACTGATTCTGAAAGTAAATTTGAGCACCAGAAGTGCTTCTGGAATTTCACCCAAACGCTCCAGCTTCTGCTTCTGCTCCCTGGAGGAGCAGAATCAGTTTTGAGAATCAGATCCAAACACCCCCTATATAGAAAATTGAGTTTTTTGTTTACCCAGACAATTAAAATTGATCACACAGACAATTAAAATTAATCACACAGACAACTATTGTATGTGAAACGCACAACTATTGTCTGTGTGGTAAAATTTATCTGTGCAGACAGACAAATAATTGTTTGTGCAACATGAAAATATTGTATGTGCACACGTGCACTGCACATATATTGATTGATTTGCAAGCTGATGTCAGTGTTAGGCCGCTGTCAGCGTACTTTTTACAAAAAAGTAAATGTCTGTGGACACAGATAAAAGTTGTTTGTGTACACAGACAACTCTTGTCTGTGACCACAGACAACTCTTGTCTGTGACCACAGACAATTCCGTACTAATTGTTTGTGACCGACATTTTGGATGTTTTTACTTGGACTATAATTTGCACCAGACCAGACCAGACCAGTCCAGACCAGACCAGACCAGTTCAGACCAGACCAGATCAGACCAGACTTGGATAGTTATAAAAATACAAAGAAACCAGACCTTACCAGACCAGACCAGTTCAGACCAGACCAGACCAGACCAGTAAAAACATCCTTTGTGTACAAATTGTGTACCTAGCATGATTGTAAAAAAATTTGGGAGCAGTATAAAAAGCAAGCATGGCGCGTACTCTAAGGTGTAGTCCGTAGCATTTGCAGCCAATAAAGATGATCAACACATGAAATACCGCACCTTTGAACTGCCGGACAACGGCCCCCCATTTCTCCACACATTTCCGCTATCCCGCCAGCCCCGCCTACTCTCCTCTTGATTGTACCCACATTGCATTTCAAGATTGCTTATTTCTTTTATTAAAAAGAATCGCGGGGGGAATTTTTGTTTTTTATTGTTGTTGTTAACGAGTGTTGTTGGTCAATAATCTGGGTCGGAGCTTTGGGATTTTCTTGGTTTTGATATTCTGGAGCTTGAGGGTTCTGATCAGATGCTGGAAGGCGTGGCGCATCCCCCCTGCAGCCTCGATGATTCCCCCATGTTTCGCCAGCAGGTTTGTTTATTATACTTTTAATTAATAATGGCCTTTTCATTATATATAAAGATGCACATTTTAATTTTAGTACCATACTGACTTTTCAAATTTATGATTTGTGTGTGCCAGCTTCTGTTAGATTATTTTGCTTGTTATTCGAATATGAATCTTTTTTGTTTTTCTCATCCAATTAATATGCACAAGCTAAACATCAATGTTTCTAATTAGGGAAAAACATTGTTTTGGTCCTTGTCCTTCAATTGTTCCCGGTTGTGCAATGTAGTCTCTTTTTCATAAAAGAGTATGTTAATTTCCTCACGCCCTAATGCTAACATTATTGCTGATAAGATAAAAGAAAAGGGGGCATATGGTTATATGCAATTGCAAAAGATGCCCAAGCTGATTGACTGACTCCATAGCTATGGTTTAAGGGACTGATTTGATTTTTTTTAAATAGATGAGGTACTAAAATAACAAGTTTTCCTTCTATATATTCACATTCCATCTTATAAAAATGCTGGAGTCCTTGACCTCTTTTGTGTGGTTAATCAGATGCAATCTATGGAGGAAAATGCTGAGGTATTGAAGGAGAAATGTCTAAAGTTTTGTAAAGGATGCCGAAAATACACGTGCGTATTTCATCCTTTTGACATATTAACTCGATTAACATGCTACTCATACAGAATTAATAAATCTTTATATGACCATTCATTCCTTTTTTTTCCAAAAGAAAAATGCATTAATTAATTTGAAACTATAGTCCTTGAGATCGAGATGGGCACATTGGTTTTTTCATGCTTAGTCCACTCTAATGTCACTTTTCCCGCCTAATCCTGACCAGTCCATGGATAGGCTATTGGCCCCCGTCTACCTCCTAATGCCTTCTGCAACATTGCCATTTATGTGCCAATTACTGTTACACGGTTTCATTATTTTTTACATTATAGAGAAGGGCTTGCGGAAGCATATGACAGAGACATTTCTTTCGCCAGTGCCCTTGAAATATTTGGAGGAGTGCATGATGATCCAACTTCTGTGGTATTTGGAGGTCTTTATTAATTCATTAAGTATATCAATCCAGTTATACAGTTCATGAAATTATAAATGAATATGTCACTTGCTAAGAAAATGTTTATAGCAATACTAACTTGAGCAATGAATCTGCTATTAAAGTTTCGTATTCAGCTGTTTTTATTAGTATAATTATTGTTGTTTATAATAATAATAGTAATATTAATAATAATAAATTAATAATTGTTGTTGTTGGTGGTGTCATTGTCATCGTCATCATCATCGTCATTATCATATGGACATTAACACCCACAGGTCCTGATATGGTGAATTGTGCTATAGCCTTGAGAGAGATCGGAACATACAAGGAAACTCTACAATCACAGGTAGCAATTATCTTTCTACTTTATCCAGGAATTCTTATCATTAGTGCACTATGCTTTATTTTGTATGTCCAATATCAACTTTTAAGGCATCATGTATCATTGTCTTATTTATTTTTCATGACATCCACTGACTGTATCTTAGGTGGAGGATGTTCTAATTGAGAGGTTACAACACTTCACTGTGGTTGAGCTTCCACATGTAAAGGTACTGCCCTTTATTATTGCGGTTAACATGTTCTGTATACAAATTATTGTAGGCTATGTTAGTTTGGGCTTAACTAGACTATTTTGAGCATCCCAAGTCAGTTATTTAACCAGGTCTGGGTCTAATATATAATGTGAAGTCACACCTTTTGGGGCACCTTGTTTTGAGCCGAGGGTGTGTTCACTGTTGAGCATCCACATCTAGGGAATTTTGAGTCCAGTGTAGCACATATAAGCATGTTGTATATAGAAACATCACCTCTTGAAGATTCTTTTGGGGAAAGTTAGGTTTAATTTAAGATTCTAAATTACCTTCTATGGTTTTGAGTCTAGTGTAGCACATATAAGCATGTTGTATATTGAATCATCACCTCTTGATGATTCTTTAGGGGAAAGTTAGGTTTATTTTAAGATTCTAAATCACCTTATATGGTTTTTCAATGTTTTATTATTATGAACCTTTCTACCAATGTCCATCGTACTGGATTCTTGTCCATAGTATATTTTGTTTCACATTTGGGATCTCTACTCACCTTCTCTCAATGCTTGAATAAATAGAGAAGTTATCCATATATGTAACTTTCATGTGCTATGAGGAAATTGAATTCTTGCAGGAAGCTCGGAAGCGTTTTGACAAAGCAAATGTAATCTATGATCAGGTAGGTGTCACAAGTCACGAATCACAACTGTGCAGTTAAAACATGTCTCTCTTATTGAATTACTACTCGATAGTAACTGGCATTACTACTCGAATTTACAGATCCTCAATTGTATCTATTATTTGAATCTGCAGATGTGTTTAGTTTGATATTTATTTAATTAAGAAAAAACGTCACACATTTTACTTCTAGAGTTTGTGATGAAGAAAACTATGATCATTTCTTATTTTCCAAAAAAGTGACTAAATAACTTCAAAACCACAAATCATCAAATTTCTTCTCCTTCCATCCTCCGCCCAGCCTCACTGCCCACAAGTGCCGGGTGCCAACATGAACAACAACATCCAAGCCTTATATCCAAAAGATTTTGTGGTCAGCTAACATGAATAGATCCATGATATCGAAGTAAAAAATAAGAGAAAGGTAAGAAAAATAAAAAGATAAGGTAAGATAAAAAGGATAAGATAAAGATAAATATAAAATAAAAGAACATAAGAAAGATAGAAGATAAAAATAACATAAGAAAGATAAAGAAGATAAAAAATAAAAGAAAAAAGAGAGAGCAAAGAGAAAAAAAGAGATCAATCCTTCATGCAAATATTCACTCCCCACTTTGCTCTCTCCAAAGCCATACTCTCATCCAACCCAAGAAGAAGCATATCACTCATGATTCCTCTAATCCACGTCTTTTTGGGTTTAAAGAATGAGCTTACTAGACTTGGTGCAACTGTTTTAATTATCTCCACACAGCTCTGTCTAGGCCTCATTTTACCGCCTTTACGTTTCTTCTTCACCCCCCTCCGTGCCCTGATAAACCTTACCTAAATCTACCCAGTAGCCACACCCTAGTTTACCACTTACAGATTGTTAAGTCATCCTACTTTGAAAAGTATATATAATTGACCAATATATATAAGGCATTGTAATTGTTTCATATAAGATTGACTTGGTGGCACTTAATAAAACATCCATTTTCATCTACCAGGCTCGTGAAAAGTTTCTGGCACTGAGGAAAAATACACGGTTGGACATATCTGTGGCCATTGAGGAGGTATCAGCCAATCCTTCTTATGTTACTACATGAAGATCACTTATTTTTTTATCATTAGTTGAACAGATGGTATAACATGGGTAACCATCCTCAGTAAATTCTAATTTGGTAGAGAGCCGTTCCAGGAACTTCACCAATCAAGATCAAGTTTTGAGAGTGCCCGGTTTAATCTGGTGAGTGTTTTTTCTTGTTGTTCCTGAATATTACATCGCTTCACGAATTAATATGAAAACAAATAATGTGTTAAGTTTCCTACATCTGTTGTCTACAGATTTCGAGTTTAGTATAAATGGCGGATCTAGAAATTAATTTGAAGGGGCACATTAGACTCTAATATACATACAAACACATACACGCGTGTGTACATATATATTGGATCAAATGAGAAGAGTTCTTAATATAAGAATTTTGAATGAATCTAGTGCATTGGATTCAGATCAAATGACTCTAAAAGCGCCAATAATGTTATAATAATGATATGAAAAATGCACTGACACTTTCATTTTCAAATGAACTTTTTTGCCATTGTATAAAAGTGCAGTGGCTGTACATATGAGACTAAGAGTGCAATGTAGAGAATTCAAAGTGACGACTGCATTTATTGTCATGCGCGTTGCACTATTGCCTTCAAACGATGCACGCTTAAAAATGATGGATTTGTTTTTTTACTTAATTACAAATATGCCAGTGCATTTCTGATCAATTTTAATGCAATATTGACATATTTAGAGTCATTCGATCATAAATTGGATGCACCAGATCTATTCCTATGTTTTATGGGAAATGCACTTTTTATTTGAAACAAAAACTATATATAGAAAGACGTGCTTAACGTGAGACATTCAAAATTTTCATTTTTACTTCTTTTTATGCACTATTAAATTCATCTATTACACTTTTACATGATGGCAGAAAATGTTCAGTTAATTATGAAATTGCCACTGCGTCATTCATCTTTTTTGGCAATTTTGTCACTTCTAGAGCAATTAGGTCTCAAATTCAACGAATCAGATATATTCTCATTTCTTACAATAACCCTTCTCATTTGATCCTAATTTTATATGTTCGTGCGTGTGCCCCGCCACTTCCTTATACATACTCACGTATGTGTGCACTGTGCACACATATTTAAACTCATACACACACATAACAAAGTATAATAAATTTAAGGTGGCCACATCTAAAGCTTTAAATAAAAAAAATTATATACAATTATTTGTTTCATTTTTCGGTTATCCAAAAAACTCTGACACTTTCTGTTTTTATTAACAAATTCATTTTCTTATCATCATCGTCGTCGCTGCCGCCATCATCATCATCATTATCATTATTATTGTTATTATTATTATTACTATTCCTGTCTTTTGGGATGGATGTAGTAGTTTTTTTTCAATTCATGACCCCAATATCTTTTGGGATTAAGGCTTGAATGTTGTTGTATGTGAACCTTGCCTAGGGATCCTCGCTTGATCTATCATTGTCAACTCTTAAATATTTAAGTGTGAAGTTAAACCTCAGCTCTTGAGAATCCTCTTGGAGTGAGTTGACCCATTTTAACATAGGATCTAAACTTAGTTTGGTACGTGTGTGATGGGTGCATGTCCACTTGGCAACATGTTTGAAGGTCGGTTTGGGTTGATTTGTTAAGTGTCCACCTTTTCAGTCATCCACCTAACTTGGACTCAACGTGGTGTCTTGAACATCCCATTTTAGTTGGCTAGTGGGCTTGACTCTGAGTTTTCATTGGTTCATACAGTTTGGAGCTCTTTCTTCCATTGATGAAAAAAAGAAGTTTGAGTTGTTGGAAGCTGTTACTAATACAATGTATGCTCATCTTCGTTACTTTAAACAGGTATTGAAGTAATAGAGTTTTATGGTATTAGCCTTGCTATGTATTTCGATAGCCTTGCTATGTAGTTGCAACACTTTGAATTTTACACTATTCACACACCTTATTTTGACCATGATTTTCTACTATTATATACTACTTCTGTCCCCCCAAGTTTGGGACAAAGGGGTGTGGTGTGGTTTTTAAGAAAAAGTAGAATTGTGTGGTTGTTATTAAATTGATAAAGTGTGAATAAGGTAAGAATGAATTCTAACCACTAATATATTACCAAATATGGTATGAGACAAACTTAATGAGATGGACGGACGAAAGGTAAAACGGGACAAAGTTAGGGGGACGGAGGGAGTATAATCAAAATATTATGTATAAAATATTATTAAATTTCTCTTAATGTGAACTTCCAAATATTAAATTTTTATAATGTTTATTAATCCTTAAATAAATATAATTACAGTCAAAATTAGGAGTTAGCAAACGTGAAAGTCAAACTGTTGCAATTAAAAAAGAACGGAGGTAGTATATTATTTACTGTGTAGGGTAATGAGGTTTAGAAAAGATAGAATGTTTAGGCTGAATTCCGTAGTATGTTTTAGTATTTGTATAGTGATGTAGGGAGTGTATAAGGTAAGCTATTAATTACTCCCTCCGTCCCGCTAAGATTGTCCCAGTTCATACTCACTTGGTCAACACAAATCACTCTTAATCTCTTACTTTATATATCAAATTATTATCAAATTTGATTTTGGTTTTTGTGACTTTGTAAAGCTTTTAATGTAGTTTCTGAATATGTATTTTTTTGTCTTCTAAAAATAATTTTAGTGCGAACAAGGAGCTGTTTGCTTTATCGTCGGTCAAGCATCGTAAACCGAATTGTCCCATTCTTTGTGGGACGGAGAGAGTACAATAATTACTACAAAGATTCGTAACTGAAGACTAATAAATAGTAATAACTAATAGTCAATGCTTTGGATTCATCTATGATATGGATCCTTCTATACACGCCACAAGTAAGGTATTCGATCACTTGCAAGAAGCTGAGAAGCGTAAAGCGCTACCTTGGAAGTGCCTTGGTGAGAATATAAGCCAGCTGATCATGAGTGAGGATATGAAGTACATGAAGAATTCCACGCCACACATGTTGTGTTGTCTGGCAAAATGGTAATCAATGGTGACATGTTTTTTCCGAGAATGGAGTATAGGATTGGTGGAAAAAGGTAGTAGCACCTTTGTTATTGCAAAGGAGGACCAATGAAGGAGGCAGATGGCGTAGCTCATGAAGAAGGGATTCAATCCAAAGAATTTCAGATTCAATAGTAGATAAAGCCTTTGTGTTTTGACTTTGCTATTGTGTAGGATTTGGCAATAGTCCATTGTTTGGATGATTGCCAAGAAATAAGTGTGCGACTAGAAAAATTGTATAAGCACTTGTAGAGGAGTGGTAATTTGGATTCTCTACCCAATCCACATTACCATAAGCATTCAAGGAGAGAAATGAGTTGCGGTAGTGGTAGAGGCCCTGAGAGCCTGTGCCTTGAAGATATTGCAAGAGACATTTCAGTAGCTGCGAATGGTTGATGTCAGGTTGTGCATAAGTTGAGGTAGTTTGTTGATGGCAAAAGCAATGCTTGGTTTGGAGAGACTCAAATATTGAAGTGTGCCAATGACTTGGCGATAGAGTCACGTCACAAGAGCCCACATTGTCAAATAGAGTCAAAGAAGCGGAGGGTGCTAAGGGCGTGAATATGGGAGTAGCTGCATTCATTTTCAACACCTGTAAAAAATCTATAATGTACCCATGTTGATCAAGAAAGAGTCCATCTGTGTAGAAGTGACCTGCATGCCTAAGAAGTAATGTAAGGATCCTAAATCCTTCATAGAGATTTTTTGTGCTTACAAGTCAATAGTTCGACAAATCAATACTGGTGTAAAACAAGTAACACCAACATCATCCACATAGACCAATACATAAATATAAGTGTGATAAAAAGAAAATATGAAGAGACTTGCATCAGAAATTGATTGATAAAACCCAAGAGAAAAAAGAAATCCTCTGAGAGATTGGTACCATAGATGAATTTGGAAAGACAACATACTAATCAAGAACCATCATTGAAACCAGGAAGTTGTTTCATGTAGACTTCTTATTGAGGATCTCCATTTAAGAAGACATTGTTGACATCTGTTTGATTAATCGGCTAACCTCGAGAAATAGCAACGGTTAGGACAACCTGAATAGTGACCGGGTTGACTACTGGGCTAAAGGTGTTAGAGTATTCAATGCTCCGGCGCTGATGAAAGTCCTTAGCAACCAATCGAGCTTTAGAATGATCCAAGGAACCATCCGACTTGTGTTTCACAGTATAGATCCATTTGCAAACGACAATATTCTACAGACATAGCATCCCTCTCTCCATGTGGGTACCTGTAAAGCCCGAGAAGCACACATAGGGATAATATGATGAGGTAGTGGTGATAAGATTGGCTTGTTTACGAGGACAAAGGTCATCAAATGTGTACGTATGGGTGGAGAGTTGGCTGGATCGTGTTGTTGATCAAAGGATGATACAGGAGCATTTGTAGTAGTACCAGTGGCGAGAGGATGGTAGTGGGTTCATTAGGGGATGGATGGGGAGATGATTAGGCAGAAGGTTTTGATCTGGGCCGGCAATGATTCATGATGATGACAGGTGGAGTGGGCGTGGGTGGGTTTATTGGTAATTGTGGATGTACGAGAACAAAATGGTATTTGATACACTAGGAGATTCTTGTTGAGCCAGAGGCCGGAGTATGAGAAACAGGTGGCTGAAGCCAGTGATCAATGTTAGAGGAGAGATCTGTAATTGGGGTCGGGTTATTAGAGAAGAGAAAGATAGATTCATTAAATACAACTTGCCTACCGACAAAGATACAGATTGGTAGTTTGATCAAGATAGTGATTAGCTCTTTGTTGATCACAATATCAAAGGAAAACACAAAGCTTAAATTCTAACTTATGAGTTGTGTAAGGACGCAATCATGGAAAAACATTGACACTGAAAATAGCAAGTTTTGTGTAATGGGGAGGTGTTTGAATCCAGTATCGCCTTCTTCAAATCCAGTATCGCCGGACATATGGATTGAGTTCTTAATGCCTTCGAACTCTGGATGGAGACCCTCCAAGGCTTGAACAGTGAAGTCTTCATCTGCAAGGATTCTCAGACACACTGAGAACCTTACTAGGCATGCCGGGGTTGGTCTTTGAGGTTCTGAATTTCGGAAGCTGATCAAGTTCCGTAGAGACGTTCCAGTGTTCTCTTGATGGAGGCGGAGGTTAGTCCAGACCCAATTAAGGGTTTGCAAGCCAGACTGAGCGAAGAGACAAGAGCACGGCGGAGCAGACGATCCTGTCTGTTCCATCAAAGATGGTTGACTGCATCACTTTCTGGAGGTGGAGACACTTTGTCTCGATGTAGCGATATAGATGGGAACCAAACAGAAGGCCAATCACCTGGTCTCGGCGTCTTGCCACACTAGATGTTTGACCCATCTAATTTTTCTGGATATCGACTGGGATTAAGCATAATAAGTTCTAGTGTTAAGGTATTGTTGATTGAGGTAGATGAGGCATTTGGAAGTAGTGAGGAGTGTCCAACAAGAGGATTTTCAAGGTCTCCCTGTTCGTGGAGATCCTCTGGACGTCTGGCTTCCTGTTCATTGCCAGACATGGGATGAATGGTGAGAACTCTTATTGCTCTGATACGATAATGAGGTTTAGAAAAGATAGCATGTTTAGGCTGAATTTCATGCTTTATTCCATAGTATGTTCTGGTATTTATACAGTGATGTAGGGAGTTATAAAGTAAGCTACTAATTATACTATTAACTATAAAGATTTGTAACAAAAAATTCTAATGCTCTGAATTCTTTTATGATCTGGATCCTTTTATGCAGGGGTATGAGCTTTTACATCAGATGGAGCCTTATATCAACCAGGTGACTCATAGTTCATGCTTTTCATGATATACAAATTGTGGTTTGGTGCCGTATACTTTTGCTTCCCTTTTTAGTTTTTTTTTTTCCTTTTTAATTACTTTATACTCTTCTTAACAGTATGTTGGATCCCCGAAAGTGGCACTGAAGGGGGTGGGGAATACTACCGGAAAGTTACTTTTTTTGGTTTCTTTTTACCTTGAGAAATGCAAAGTAAAATGAATAACAGTTTTTAAGTAATTACATATATTTAGCTTGTATCTATATATGGAGTAATATAAATACATACATAGTAAAATACTTTTTAAGAAAATATAAAACATAATATCTTTGAGTTAGAATAATTCTAATTATTTAACCTCACATTTTATTTCCTTCCGAATTTCCCATATATTTCCTCATATTGCCATATGTTCTTTTCCCTAGCATTTTTTGAGCTTGAAATAGACCCTAAAGGTTGTATTTCAAGTTAGTTATTTTTCTACACAGCTCTTGGCATATTCACAAAAGACCAGAGAAAGCTATATGTCTGAGCAAGCAGCCCTCTTAGAAAAGATGCAAGAATACCAAAGGAAAGTTGATCAAGAAAATAGGCAATCCTTTAGTGGTTCCCAGAATTCTCCAAATGGTGATGTCATACAACCCTTTACCAGAGGCTCCCATAAAGTAATAAAAGCAGTCATACAGTCAACTTTAGAAGGAAAGGTATTTTTTTTTTAATTTGTTAACATAATTTTTTTAATCTGTTAACATATAGATGCTCCTAAGTTTAACTCTGATTATCTGAAAGCTCACTGACTCCCACGCTTTTCCACTATTCCACTATTGGTCGCGGACTCCCACTCTTTTTCAATATTGGGCACAACTATGACTTTTTTTTGCCACTTTTGGTCCTTCCTGGCCACATCTCTAATGAAAATTAACAGGAAATTTGATATCAGTATGCTTTATTGTTATAATTATTATAGCAGTATTATTAATTTTTTTATAAGCATCACTATTAGTTTCCTATTGTTATTAGTAGTAATAGTTCCCTATTACTATAGGAAGTCTATTTTAGTTAATATTCTTATTAGCAATATTTTAATAGGTTAGAGCCATTCTAATGCTGGTATATCAAGACTCTTGAAACTAGTATAAATTATAAATAGAGGTGCTCTGTGTTTTTACTTGGACTGTTTTCAGTCCCAGACCAGATCAGACTAGACTTGGACAATTATAAAATACGCAGAGACCAGACATTTACCAGACATTTACCAGAGCAGTTCAGTTTAGACCAGACCAGACCAAAATATTCCAGTCCAAGTAAAAACATCCTAATTAATAATTTGATCAACAATCTTGGTATTATTCCTTGGAGTATTGACAAGGTCAGTCACCCCCTTCTCTTGCCTAGGGTGGAGAAGTTCTCTTGACAAGGTTAATCTTTATATGGGGCAATATGACAAATGATGCTTTTCTAAATATACCATTGGACCATTTGATCATGATGTCTGAGGGGTACTGATGCACATACTTTATTATAATTATAATAATAAATTAATAATAATAGTTATTATTATATTTAATAGGGAAAACTGTCAAATAGGTCCTCGATCTTTCATAAAAAGGTTAATTAAGTCCTTCTATAGGAGGTTCTGTCCGGCCGTCGCGATTTGGGGAAGTTCCCGGTGGAATTTTTTGATGAATTTTTTTGAGCATCTTATTCACCATGTCTAGTTTACTCATACCAAATTTCAGCTAAAAATTCAATTGGGAACACATTCAAATTAATTCTTGAAGATAACTGCGCATTTTTGCGTTCTTGAATTAATTTGAATGTGCTCCCAATTAAATTTTTAGCTGAAATTTGGTATGAGTAACTAGACTTGATGAATAGGATGTTCAAAAAATTTCATCAAAAAATTCCACCGGGAACCGCCGCAAACCGCGACGACCGGACAGAGTCTCCTATAGAAGAACTTAATTGACTTTTTTATGAAAGTTCGAGGACCTATTTGACAGTTTTCCCTATTTAATATTATACATTAATACATATCATTATTAGTTTCGTTTATAATTATTCGTATTAATATCCTATTGTTATTAGTAATAGTAGTTCCTTATTAGTATATGAAGTCTGTTTTAATATTCCTAGTAGCCCTATTGTAATAGCCTAAGAGGTTAGAGTTACTCTCATTCTAGTCTACCAAGACTCTTGCAACTAGTATAAATAGAGGGTCTCTATAAATAATATTACGTAATATGATCAATAACCTTAGAGTCTTGATGAGGTTTGACACCACCTTCTCTACTCTAGGGCGGAGAAGTTCTCCATCTTATTGATTTTGATTTTTTTTATTATCCATCTCCCAGCCACACCCATAATAAAATTTTAAGGGAATTGGCCGGACAAGTGGTCACAAGGACATGAAATTGAATTGAATCTATAGTCGTACACCAAGTCTTTGTTTGGTCCAGGGACGAAATAGAGAAGAGATAAATGAGTGAAAGAGTAAAGGCTGACACTGGTATTTGATAGGAGAGAAATGAACCAGAAATATGTAGGTATTGAGAAGAAACTCATTCTCCTCTCCTATTTCTCCCCACAAAGGAAAGGAAACAAAATAAAGTGAGACCCCTCATTTTTTTTCTCTTCTCCATTTCTCTTGTCATCAAACATGATAAGTTTTTCATTTCGCCCTATTTCTGTATCCCTCACATTTCTCTCTTTCCTATTTCACTGCAATTAAACCAAGTGCATATATTGAAAAGAAATGAATGTCCGGGACCAAAAGTGGAATGACCTTATAGCAAGGTAGTCAAAGTCAAGCGCCTGGGCGCTAAAGCGCACCAGGCGCAGCGCACAGAAGCCCCATCGCTTGAAGAATGATCAGGCGCAACTTAGGCGCAAAAGTGCTGAAGCGCAACTGCGATAAAAAGCGCTCGCTATCTGCGCCTAATAGGGGAACTCGTTTTTTTAAAGTTTAATGATACAGTTCAGACATGTCGTCAAATAAGAAGCCCATGTTTTTAATAAAGCCCGTCTAAATAAGTTCAAAACAACATATACCTACGCTAAACAACACACTATAAACCTGATCTGCTCTACTCAAGTTACCTGTTCGCTCCTCCTCCTGTCCTCCACATCAACTCCACATCAACTGCAGAAGTTGGCAGCAGCTAGCTTTCTCTTCTCTATCGTTCCATTTTCTTTCTTTTTTCTTTTTTCAGTATCTACTTCTTCTTATATACTTTATACAACTTAAACATTATATATGTAAATAAACTACCAGTATAATGGTCTATCATGTGCAACAACACTCTTCATTGTGCCATTTTGCTTTCTTCTTTACTTTTTCAGCATCCTTCTTATATAGTTTATACCCAATTACTCTAGATACCTAAAATCTAATTATGTTTTATTTTTCCGTTTGAAAGTTTAGGACATTATGTTACGAATTCTGAATTTGGTTGTTTTGCCTTTGTGAATCATGACCTTATTTTGGTTAATCATGACTTTATTTAGGTGAAACATGACTTTATCTGTGAGAAACCTTACTTTTTTATGAAGTTAGTTGAGTATGGTGTTATATACATCATTTTTTATTATTGAAGAATAATATATGTGATACTTCCTAAGCAATGCGCCTGACATCAGTCAGGCGAGCGCTTTTTTGCGCCTTGCGCCTCAGGCGTTGGGAATACCCTATCGCCTTGAGTGTTCCTCACAACTTTGACTACCTTGCCTTATAGTCTTGGCAGTTAGGACCAAATGAAAATTTGTCTTGTCACTCTTATTATAGCTAAGGTTTTAATAGTTTAGGTACAAACTATAAAGCAAGGTTACCTGTCAAAACGCTCATCTAATTTGAGAGGTGACTGGAAAAGAAGATTCTTTGTTCTTGACAGCAGAGGAATGCTCTACTATTACCGTAAACAATGGAGCAGGCTATCTGTAAGCGTCCAAGAAAATGTCTGAAAGAATAAACTTTCTTTGAAGTGCATTACTTTTTCTTGAATTGTGTAGTTTCAGGGAACTTCCAGTCCAAGTGCTTCCTCACACAGAAGTTCTTCTTCAGAATCGGGTTCTTCTGGGCTATTGAGTCGCTGGCTTTCCTCTCATTATCACAGTGGTGCTGTTCATGATGAAATTTCCTTTGCACGTCATACTGTTAATCTAATGACATCAACAATTAAAAAGGACGCTGAACAATCTGATTTGAGATTTTGTTTCCGAATTATATCTCCAACAAAGAATTATACCTTGCAGGTAAATTAAGGATGAAGATAATGTTAATATGTATACCCTTCATTTATTTACTTTCGATGATTATCGGTTGGACAGACAGTTCTTTAACTGATTAAAATAATATTGCTTTGTAAATTGTAATTTTAAAAATATTTCTTAAAAAAAGCAGGCGTTAATGAATATCTTCTCTGCTACACTGGCTCTCATCAAAGTGGAGAGTGTAAGGGTCTGTTTGATGCCCGAAAATGGTTGGGAAAGTACACAGGGGGGAATTATTGGGAAAATGTGTAATAACCGAATTAGATAAGAATTGGTTCAAACTCAACAAATCAGTTTTAAATATTTGCTATAACTAATTATATATTTCGGTTATGTAGCCTAAAAAATCTATGTATATATAATATATATGAAATACTTCGATTTTCTTTGATCAAATTTGAGTTTCATCTATAATCTCCAAGATAAGACAAAAAAACATTTTCCTCAGCATTTTTTCTCTTCCCTACCATTGTCCAGGTTACAAACACAACATAGTGTTCTATCAAATATACATTTTCATCTCGGGCTTCAGATATTGCTATATGATTAAATTAATCATATGAAGTAAACATATGATAAGATTCTCTAATTTAATGAATGCATCCTTATCATGCCTTATCACTCGAAGTACACAAGCTGAATGAATGGCATTAGTTCACAGTTAACTGTTATTGGAGAACTTTAAGTGTCCGTTTGGAGCCCAGAAATACTCTGGAAATAAAATAGGAAAGAAACTTTTTTTTTCATTTATCCCAGTGCCGCAAAGGCTCCCACCTACGGTGGGGTAAGGGGGGTCGGATGTACGCAGTCCAAAATCGCGTCCAAAATTGCATGGACTGACTGCTGCTTCATAACAAAGAAGCGCAGACAGTTTAGTGAGCCATTTTGCTTTATTCCATCTATTCTCAAGCCAAAAAATAATGAATCTTTTGCTCCATTGCAATTGATGGAAAATAGGAAAGAAACTATAGATAAAAATTTGAAGGAAAGAGATGGGGGGAAAGTAAAAGATAGCCTAGACAGGCTAGAGCCTAGTCTAACTATTTTAGATATTTTATATTCTGATTTTGTTATGTGTCGATTGTATAGCAACTAAGAAATATAATGTATGCATAAAAACCTAATCAAGGTAAATTCAAACTCAAGAAAGTAACATTGCTTGTAATCCCCCCATTTCCCTTTCATTTCCCGGGATCCAAGTATATGCTAAACAAATAGGTGAGTTTGAAAATGCAGGCTGAGAGTGCAGCAGAACAAATGGAATGGATTGAAAAAATAACTGGAGTTATTGCTTCTTTGCTCACTTCCCAGACACCGGTCAAGGTAAATAAAAAAAACAATGGTTTTTGTTTTTGTTTTATATTACTGTGATATTGGGATCTCTATTATATAATAAACTAATAGTTGATGACTTTTAAATTACAAACTCCTGATTTCTAAAGATATTACAGGGATGTTCATTATATAGAGAAAATATGGCGCCTAAACATTGTAGGAATAGCAAACCTAAATCTAATGAAAACAGGAAGTCATATTCCTACTAAAATAAGGATTAATATAAACATCCAAGCCTTATTCCCAAAAGATTTTGGGGTTGGTAAAACTAGGATTAATATATTACTACCTCCGTCCCATATTGGATGTCTTGTTTTTGTTTGACATGATTATTAATAAAGTGGTTGAAAAGTAAAAGTTGTGGTTGGGATTTGAGAAGAATAAAGTGAAATGAAAAGGACCACATATTTCATGCCAAAAAAGGAAACATGACATTGATTTTGGGACAACCCAAAAAGGAAAGTAAGACAATCAAAATGGGTTAGAGGGAGTAATATATTTTCATCCTTACTACATTTTATGATTTTACAATTTCTACTTGCTAAAGATGATATCTTGAATGCCAGCATTTCTATTCAAGCCCCGCTAGTGTAAACAGTTCTATTGGAAGTCCTCCAGATTTAGATCAAAATGCAATTGAAGATTATTCATTGGGTGGTAATATCACCTCTAAAAGTATTACACGTGCATCGAGAAGTTCACTGCAGCCACACAACGGAATTCATGCGGGAAAACTAGTTGATGCACTAAAAAGGTTGCCTGGGAATGATAAATGTGCTGACTGTGGTTCACCTGAGCCAGACTGGGCATCTCTAAATCTTGGTATCCTAATATGCATTGAATGTTCTGGTGTACATCGAAACCTTGGTGTACATATATCCAAGGCAAGTAATTTTCGCACCCAATATTTTCTTGGGAAAAGGGGCAAATAAGCCCTCGAACTAATAAAAAAAGTGCAAATAAGCCCTTGTGTAGGAGGTTTCGTCTGTCTATCGTCATTTGGGGAGGTTCCCGGTGGAATTTTTTGATGAAATTTTTTGAGCATCTTATTCATTAAGTATAGTTTAGTCATACCGAATTTCAGCTAAAAAATCAATCGGGAAGACAGTCAAATGAATTTTTGAAGATTACTGCGCAGTTAAACAACGTAGTGTAGTTCCGAAAATCATTTGAGTGCCTTCCCGGTTGAATTTTTAGCTGAAATTTGGTATAACTAAACTAGACTTAATGAAGAAGATGCTCAAAAAAATTCATCAAAAATTTCCACCGAGAACCTCCCCAAATGACGATGATCGGACAGAACCTTCTACAAAAGGGCTTATATGCACTTTTTTTATTAGTTCGAGGGCTTATTTGCCCCTTCTCCCTATTTTCTTTGATTCTCTCTCCATTAAACACCCCCTATTGCGAGAACTTTTTTTCCTAAAAAGATTCTGCTTTTAAAAGGCAACTTCTAATTATTTTTTGTATTAAAACAGCTTACGCATTAAAACAACTTACGTGTATCGCTGTCAGTTTTAGCTTTTGAAGTTTTTCCTAGAATAATACTCCCTCCATCCCGCTAAGGTTGTCCCATCTTTCTTTTTTGCTCTGCCCCACTAAGATTGTCTCATACCAAATTTGATAATGTTTACGTGGTTCTAAATCGTTCCTACTTTATTTTCACTTTACCAATTCAATATCAATCACATAAACGCACTTTTCTTGATAACCGCACCACCTCCTCTTGTACCAATGTTGGGGAAACTGAGGTAGTACTTAAATAAAACTTATAGACAAAAATGTGATTTAAGTCTATGTGATCAAAACCAGATCGTGTGGCAACCTGGACAAGTTACCAGACCAAGGGTCAACCCGGACCCGGAGTATCATCCCGGTCAACGGCCGGTAAATCCGATCAATATTTTCTAAAAAATAAGTAATTTATTATTATATGCAATATTAAAATCAAGGGAAATAATATCCTTATGTCTAATTTTTATTAGGGAAAATGGAAACTAATAATCCAACCTTTTAGCGGTCTTCTTTTAATAGTCCCGCCTTTTCGTTATTCATGAATAATCCAACCTTTGCACCTTATCTTCATTCATTGGACCCCTCAATCTTGGGTTGCTTCTTGGATCGCCAGGAGATAAGATTAGGACCCAGGAAAATTGCATACCCAGTCGTGGAACGACAGCTATCGGGACAGCCTGCCCAATCAGCATCAGAATAGGCCACAAGAAGAGAGATGTCACGATTAGCTTGAAGCCACAAACCATAATCTGTAGTGCCCTGCAAATATCTGTAAATACGCTTCACAGCAACAATGTGAGTAGTACGAGGTGCATGCATAAACTGAGAAACCAAATGTACAGCATAAGTAATATCAGGTCTAGTCAAAGTCAAATACTGTAAAGCACCTACCATACTACGATACTCAGTAGCATCAGTGAGAAGTTCACCATCTGTAAGAGAAAGTGTGGTACGCGACGGCAGAGGGGTACGAACAGGCTTAACAGTATGTTGATGAAAGCGGCATAATAAGTCAGAAATATATTTTTGCTGAGAGAGAAACAAACCCTTAGACGTACGCCGAGCCTGAAGACCCAAGAAAAAATGAATATCACCCAAGTCCTTCATAGCAAACTGAGTAGATAGGGAATGAATTATAGACCGAACAAGAGATGATGAGGAACCAGTGATTAAAATATCATCCACATATAGCAAAATATATACAACGTGAGACTGTTGGCAAAAGACAAACATGGAAGAGTCAGACTTACTTTGAGAGAATCCCCAAGATAGAAGAAAACCACTGGACCGGTGAAACCAAGCTCGAGGAGCCTGTTTGAGACCATATAACGCCTTTTTGAGGCGACACACATGATTAGGAAAAGAAGGGTGGACAAAGCCTTGAGGCTGACACATATATACCTCTTCGGTAAGATGACCATGAAGAAACACATTTTTAACGTCTAACTGACGAATACACCAACCAAGAGAAACATCAATAGATAACACGAGACGCATAGTGGTTGGTTTGACTACAGGACTAAAGGTTTCAGTAAAATCCACACCACCCTGTTGTTTAAATCCCTGAGCAACTAAACGCGCTTTATGACGCTCAACAGTCCCATCAGAATTATATTTTGTCTTAAAAACCCACTTACAACCGACCACATTTTTCATGCCATCCCAAGGTACCAAATCCCAAGTCTGATTAGAAAGTAGTGCATTAAATTCATCTGCCATGGCAGCCCGCCAAATAAAATGTTTTTGAGCTTCAGAAAAACAGGTTGGATCATCGGGCTGGAGCCAGGGCTGATCGTGGGGCTGGGCAGTGGGCTGGAGTGCAAGCTGGAAGTGGGGCTGTGTAACGGGCTGACTGGTGGAGTGGAAGTGGGACTGGTTGGTTCATTGGGAATGGGGCTTTCCGTATGAATTGAGGTGGGGCTGGGTGAAGAAAAGGTGGGTTCAATACTGGCAATAGATTTGTCCAGCATGACGGGTGGGGATGCTGAAGTTTGCATGCTGGAAGAAATGTTACTAGGTGTAGGGAAGTAAAAATTGAGAGGCCAATGGGAGGAAGTGGCAGGGGATAGGGCTGGAGGGGTTGGAGGAATTTTAACAAGTCTAGAATAGGGGAATTCATTTTCATAAAATTGGACATCCCTACTAACATAAACCCGACCAGAAATAGGATCTAGACATCGGTAACCCTTATATCCCAGGGCATATCCTAGAAAAACACACTGAATAGAGCGAGGTGATAGTTTATTAGAGGACTTGGCAATAAAATTAGGAAAGCACGCACACCCAAAAAGACGAAGAAAAGAAAAATCGGGAGATTTATTAAACAATTTTTCAAAAGGAGTTAAGTTCTTAAGTATGGGGGTTGGTAAACGGTTTAATAATATAAGTAGCTGTATACAGAGCATCAACCCAAAAAGTAGGAGGAATTGAAGATTCAATTAACATAGTCCTAGTCAGTTCAAGAAGATGCTTGTGTTTACGTTCAGCTACACCATTTTGAGCAGGAGTATCCGGACAAGATTTACGGAATAAAATACCGGATTTTAAAAAATGATTGTGAAAAATGGTATTATCAAATTCACCACCCCCATCACTCTGAAATATTTTTATTTTTCTGTTAAAAAGATTTTCCACAAAGGTTTGAAAATTACAAAAATGAGTAAACACCTCAGACTTGCGTCGCATATGATAAATCCAAGTATAACGAGAAAAATCATCAATGAAGCAGACATAGTATTTAAATCCCAAATTGGATAAAACAGGCGACTGCCAAACATCAGAATGAATAATTTCAAGCGGTGCAGTACAACTATGAATAACATCAGAAAAAGGAAGTCTGTGGGATTTACCCAACTTACAAGAAACACAATTATGAAGAAAACTACTAGAAATTGAAATTAATTTATTTTGCCGAAGTCTTTGTAAAACTCTATCACCACAATGCCCCAAACGTTTGTGCCAGGTAGGTCCAGAAACTAGGTTCGCTTGAAGAGCATGAAAAGGATAGAGATGGTCTTTATTGGAGCCCTGAAGAAGATGCACCCCCGTCTGATTGTCCTTAATAGAATAAGAATTTTTGTTAAAAATCACCGTACAATCATTATCCGCACACAACTTATGTATAGAAAGTAAATTATATTTTAAGTGTGGGACATGATAAACGGAGTTTAAAGAAAGCGGGCGTCCAGGCGTAAAAAGTTTAAGACTACCAACATGAGAGATGGGTAAATTAGTACCATTAGCAACTTGCACAAAATTCGGACCGGTGTAAGGAGTTTTAGAAGAAAGAATACCTTCATGAGGGGTCATATGAGCGGAGGCACCCGAATCAGGATACCACACAGAAGCGTTAGTCTCACCCGTGGGAAGTACAGCCAGAGCAGGAGTGGAGGAACCAACAAACCTTGGACACGTGAGGGCAGAGTGACCTGGGGAGTAACAAATTTGACAGACAACTGGTGGAGAAGCATGAGAATAATTATTGTCCACAGATGGGAAACCTGTACTGACACTATTAGTACCGCAAGTAGATAGATGATTAAAGTATGAATAACCAGACAAAATATTACTTAAAACTGTACCTGGAACCCCATGTTGTTGCGGACCACGCAACTGCTGACCACCAAGGATCTGCTGTCCAGGAAACTGCTGGCCTTGAGCTGGTAATGGAAGAAGGGGCGGCTGCTGCCTGCCATACACCTGCTGTCCGCCATAAGCTGGATGTGGCTGACCTCCATAGCCGCAGCCTCTACCTCTCTGTCCACGACCCCGCTGGCCACCACGACCACGACCTCCAGGATGACGTCCACCCTGACCTCGAGCGGCACCCCCTCGATGTGGGACCGCAACAAAGGCCTGGTGTGGTACCACAGAGTCTTGAGAACGGAGATAAATATTGCGTTGCTCTTGAGCAGTCAAGATTGGGTGCAACTTTTCAAGAGTTAGATCACCCGGTAGGTAGTTAATGATGTTAAGCAACGAGTCATATTCCGATCCCAAACCAATAATAGTATATTCAAGTAAATCACGGTTGCTGACAGGAGAATTGATCATATTCAAAGCATCAACTAACAATTTAATTTCCAAAAGATACTGATCAATAGTTTGAGACTCCTTCTTTTTAATATGGGAAAGTTGTCACTTAAGTTCTATAGAACGGGCACGACAGGCATTCATAAAACGAGTTTCAAGTGCTTCCCATATACGAGCAGAAAATTTGTGATGATACACCTCCATTAAAATATCGCGTGACAAAGTAGCAAATAACCAGGACCGGCCAGTCTGGTCAATCTTAAGCCAGTGATTAAATTCAGAATTCATAACCTCTCGCCCAGAAAAATCATGCATGACTTGCGGCGGTGCCACAATTGAGCCATCTAAAATCCCAAGAAGGCTATGGGAAACTAGAAAAGACTCAAATTGGGTCCGCCACGGTAGATAATCTTCGACCGCATTTAACCGGGTAGTTACAATATTAGTAACATTGGGTGTAGAAAACCCCAATTGAGCTGCGAGAGAAGCCAAAGAGGAAGAATTGGGAGAAAAACCTGTGAGCTGTGCGCTGGGCTGTTGCTGCATCGGAGAGAGACCTTGTTGACCGGAGAAGAGGGAGCCAGAAAATAGGGGCGGCGGTGAGAGCCGCTGATCCAAGACCGAAGGTCTGCCAGACTGATTTTGAAGGGAGGCCGCCATAGAGGGAGATGTCGCTGCAGGACTCCATGTAAAAGGTTCTGGCATGGAGAAAAGGCAATAGGATGACAGTGGTGGTGCCGTATAAGAAGGTCCAGGAGGGAGTGGTTGCTGAATTACAATTGGAGAAGACAGGACAGATGAGGCAGACTGAGTCGAGAGGTACACCATCGGTTCTGTTGAGGAAGAGAGCGACTCAGTCAAGGCTGGCGTTGTGGCTGCGATGGTAGTGGCCGACGAGGAAAAAGAGACCATCGTTGTGGAAGGCGTCGTTGAGGAAGCCATCGATCGATGGATACAGAAGAGACGATCGATAAAAAACGGCCAAGTATACTAGGTTTACCTAGGCTGCTGATACCATATGAAATAATAAGATGGAATAATGGCTCACCCTAATAGGGTGTCCTGGTGGTCTATATATAATAAATAGAGAATATCAAAATTACATCAGAATCCCAATACTCTAGATTATTAATTTTCACTATGGGTCATCCGGAAACAGTCTCTCTGTGCTTTAGTACAGGGGTAAGACTGCGTACATCCGACCCCCCCTTACCACACCGTAGGTAGGAGCCTTTGCGGCACTGTGGTAATGCTGATTAGTAATACTAATACTATTAGAATTCTGATACCAATGATAAAACACCGGTAGAATCTAAACAAATCAGTAGCAATTCTAACACAATCAATCTAGGAACAGATCAGAAAAGTGTTTATTGCAATAGGAACAACTCAAAATAGGTATACAGGGTATTGGGACTGTTCAAGAAGCCCACTCTCCAAGCCAAAATGCCAACCGAATATTTGCCTGCTTATTTTCCTCCCCTTCCCCTTCTATTTATAGTACTAAATGTACCCTTACTATTATTATTATTTCTTATAAATAGCCTACTAAGCCAGATTTCTATCAACAAATCAGGTGCCTGATCCGTCCTGGATAGGACACAACGAGAATCTCCTGCATTTGCAGCTATAAGTTGTTTGACTCGAATGATGGCAACATAAGCGGTGCAACCTGAATATGGCCCCTCATAAACAGAGACAACTTCCTTTTTAGGAGAGTTCCTCAACAGTCTGATCCTCATCATCAACAGTCTCAGGATAGAATTTGCTTTCAACCACATCTTCCCAACTCTCTAGTTCATGTGTCAGACCAATTAACTCTTTTTGACTCCCTAGGTTAGAAATCATTTCGTTCATTTTGAGAAATAAATTCTGAATTGATGTGCTCAAGTCTCCAGTAGTATATGCTTCCTGTTTAAGAAACTGCTGATGAAGTTATTTTGCACAGAATTTAGCAACTTCATCACTTCCATGCCCATCATATACAGCAAAGAGAAGTTGAGCTGTCCAGATTTGGATAGTCTGCATGATCATCTTCCATAGATATAATATACCCCATCCTTGCATTGTTGCCAAACCAAATTTTAGCTGCTCATTCTCCCCATCCTCCAAATGTTTTTCAGATTTAGGACTACTGAGATATATTCCCATTTCAACCGCCAATGTAGAATATTCGCTCTCTGCTTCATTGGATGGTGGATACTATCTTCAGAATTATTAGACTTAAAAATCGGGGCTATTGACTGATCCATCCGACTGGATCGAAAAAACGGGAGGCTCCAAATTGGCTGATTCCACTTTACCGGAGCTAATTCCCTCTTCTTCCACCTCCTGCGGTTTTGGATCTGCCGGCTTCAACTCAATGTTCATTGTCAGCGATGAAGTTCCTGGCGATCCATTTCCGGATTCCACGTGGTCTAGGGTTCTGGAAGCGGATGATTCCTGACGGAACAATGAAGCTTGCACACAGTGAGAAGCGGTTTGAGAAAAAACCTGCGAATTGGGTGGCTCGGCTAGCGACTGCAACAAGCCTTGTTTTTCAGAGTGCTGGTGAAGTCTAGCGGCCCTCGACCGTCCTCTAGGTAGCCGGCGACGTTGAAGCAAATGGTTGCGCATCTCTTCCAGCATAGATCTAATCTCCGCAAAGTTGCGTTCAACACTTCCAATGCTATTCTACATCCGCGAATGCGTAAAACTCATTCTCCACTCCAGTGATCGTTGATGCTCTAATACCAAATGATAGATACCAGATTCTTAACTAGAAAGTTTAGGTAGATTAAGTATGGAATTCAGAGGAAACCTCAGAATCCCTTTAACTATTACAATGGCAAAATCAGTGAAATAGCGTAATAAGAAAATAGAGACAATCTTTTAGAGTCTCTCTGCCAAGCCTAATCCCAATTTCCAACTGAAATTCTGCATAACTCCCTTCTTTCCCCCTTCCCACTCTTATAATAATTCTATTCTTAAGAGCCAGCCCAAACTCATGAATTACATGGCCCGGAACCCTTATATTTACACTCACAGTTATTTAATAATTCTATTATTACTACTATTATTATTAATACTTTTCTGCCCAGGTTCCTATCATTGAACTTCTAAAACAACAATAATTCGGGTCATTTTTGGCTGAAACGACAACCAATTTGGGACTGAAGGAGTATTGGTTATTCTATTAAAGTTGTGGAACCAATTATGAAAAAGGATTAAACTAGAAGAAGAGTTCTAATTAATCTTTTAAAATAATATCTTCAACACGCTGCCTCCCAGTCACATGTAGGCGGGTTGGAGGCTTTACCCAAGCAAAGCCTATCACGTGCACGACTCATTTTAATGGTACAGAGAGTTTTAAACTCAATTCAATTGAGAAACCATCTAATCTAAAAGCTTAATAGCCATCATCAACAGAACAGATGAAGCAAACAAGGAAGAAATGGGGGACTGGGGGAGGGTCAGAAAATATACTTCATAGACAAATAACATGGAGTATGCAATTTTCATTGAAACTTCTTATAATTCATTTCTATTCACTATCCACATTATCATATGTTGAAATAATGTATCCTGATTTTTATCAATAATTACCGTAAACAGGTAAGATCCTTAACACTTGATGTTAAGGTGTGGGAGCCTTCCATCATCACTCTGTTTGATGCATTGGGTAACGTTTTTGCAAACTCTGTGTGGGAGGACTTGTTGCAAGCAAGCAGAACTTTTCCGGCTGATGAGCTTCCAAAGCGGTGAGAATTATGAATTTGAAGTATTTTTCATCTTTTTTATAATTTTTATTGAAGTGGTGATTGCAAGTAGACATTCTGCACTTATAGGGCTCAAAGAATCCTACTAAATAAAGCTATGTTTGGAACTTGAAGAGTGGTAGGTACTAGGTAAAGGGGGAAAGGGCCCACAAATAGCACCTTTTTATGTTTGGTTATTGAAAAAACAAAGGAAAATAAATTTTGGGTAGAACTTTTTAAAACTTCACACATATTTAGATTCATTAGTCTTTGTAGAATAGGAGTGTATAAATAAAACAAATCTAAAGTCTAAACAAACATATTAATCTATTCATTTAGTTTAGATTTTGAGTCACATTTTTTTTATTCTTCCCATATTACTTCCCTTGCAATATATAACTCCACTTTTCTCCATATTTTCTATCCCCATCATTTTTGGGTTACAAATGGACCCAGGAATTTGCGTACAGAGATCAAACCCAAGACATAAGATTTAAGCAGTTGACTCAATATATTCTTTCATGAGAAGGTTACAATGAGAAGAGAATTCAGCGTAAAACTTTACCAACTTTTTTCGTGTGGAGGGCGGATATTTGTGTGGAGGATTGATCTCTTGTCATCTTTTATCCTTTTATTTTCTTTATGTCTCTTATGTTCTTTATCCTTTTTTTTTTTTCATTTTTATTATATATATATATATATATATTCTTTTTATACCTTTTTAAGTTTTTATCTCATCATTTTTATCTTTATCTTATTTTATCTTACCTTATCTTTCTCTTCCTTTTGGCTCCAATATCATGTATCGATTCATGTTAGCCGATCCCAAAATCTTTTGAAACTAAGGCTTGAATGTTATTGTTGTTATGTACGACTAACTAATTTTGGAAAGCATAGTGATACTATAAATTTGTTACCAAGCCAACGTAGTCGGGATTAAGGGTAATGATGACTGAAAAAAAACAAGAAAAAAACTATTGGTACCCACTTTTTGTACACAATCTTACACACTTTAGTGAGCAGCAATTTTTTCCGGTGTATAGCCTGTTTATAGACAAATCATAGTTTGTCTGTGAACAAGCTATTCACAGACAAAAAAATAGCTGCAAGATGGTGTGCAATATATACCTCCACCTTTCTCCATATTTTCTATCCCCAGTATTTTTTTGTTACAAATGGACCCCACGTATTTGCGTACAAAGATCAAATCCAAGACATAAGATTGAGGCAGTTGACTCTAAAATATTTTCCTTCATGAGAAGGTTACAATGTGAAGAGAATTCAGCGTAAAACATTACCAACTTTTTTCGTGTGGAGGGCGGATATTTGTGTGGAGGATTGATCTCTTATCATCTTTTCTATCCTTTTATTTTCTTTATGTCTCTTATGTTCTTTATCCTTTTTTTTATCATTTTTATTTTATGTATATTCTTTTTATCTTTTTTTATCTTTATCTTATTTCTTTTTTTTATCATACCTTTTCTTTCTTATTTTTCTTTTCCTTTTGACTCCAATATCATGTATCGATTCATGTTAGCCGACCCCAAAATCTTTTGAAACTAAGGATTGAATGTTATTGTTGTTGTGTACGACTAACTAATTTTGGAAAGCATCTTTGTTACCAATCCAACATAGTCGGGATTAAGGGTAATGATAATTGAAAAAAATAAGAAAAAAATATTTATACACACTTTTTGTACACATCATCTTACACAAGTTGTGAGCAGCTATTTTTTTCCCTGTGAATAGCCTGTTTACAGACCCGTGAACAGGCTATTCACAGACAAACAAATAGCTGCAAGATATTGTGTACAACAAAGTGTGTATAAGAAGAATTTTTGAAAAAATAAACATAGTGTTTGTGCTGTAGGTTTGTGGAGACTGATAAAAACGGACGTTTTTTCACCAAGCCCAATCACTATGATCAAATCTCAGTGAAAGAAAAGTTCATTCAAGCAAAGGTATCATTTCAAACACGTGGACCATTTCTTTAAATCAGTGCCTATTAAATTGTAGGAAAAAATACATTAGGAGTTAATTACTATGTTACCATATCATTGATTTCATACTAATCCTTACATTTCTCTCAATATTTTTTGAAAAAAATACTTAAAACTTAAAAGCCAGTAGCAAAGCATATGGCAAAGTACAGCTTATTTTGTAAGTGTCTCACATGGCAAAATATGAACTAATAAACCATTATTTTTCCCATTAAAGTAACAATCATCATGCTTTAAAAGATGATAATAATGACTCCATACTATTTTTGATGGTTTATAATTATGTTGTTCAATTATAGTATGCAGAACGGCGATTTGTCTACAAGGTAAAGAACACTGTTGACATGCTTTCGGTTGCTGAACAGTTGTGGGAAGGTGTCCTTACAAATGACAAGAAGACAGTGTACCGTCTCATTGTTGTTTATGGAGTGGATGTTAATGCTATGAACGGGCACTCATCACCCGGTAAAGCATTAACTCTAGCACTGACATTGAAGTTAGACAGCAAATCTTCATGTTCATTTGACCATCCACCAAAAGGGAGTGAAGATAATAAGATCCTTGATGGATGTTCCCTTCTTCACCTTGCGTGCCAGATAGCTGACATTGCCATGGTGGAACTTCTCTTACAACACGGTGCAAATATAAACGCTTGTGATTCAAGGGGACAAACCCCGCTCCATCATAGTGTCATAAGAGGCAGGGTCATGATTGCCAAACTATTACTTTCAAGGTAAACTGGATTGCCTTTTATCTTGAGGATTTTCTGTTTTTATCAGACGAAGGGGAAATCACTTTTATTGCAATGTAGTCGCTCATTTTTTATTTGATGCAACGATCCAGCCTGGTAGTGCATTTAGAAATTTTCTTCTTCTAAAGAGATACAATATATATTAATACCTATAAGTAAATATACCTTACCTATAAACTAAATTCAAAAATTATGCCAACTTAAACAACTTTATATATAGATAGACATATGTTTTATATGTTGTGGAGTCATTGCATATGAAGTAATACTTATATAAACCCGAGGGGGGCAGGTACCCTAAGGACCTACTGCGGCTCCTTCCTCCAATCCCTCAATTAATTTCAAATTGGTTCGTTAAGTCTCTCACTCCCTAATATTGGAGGTGTCCCATTTGGGCATCATATGCAGTTTCACAGTAGCATGAACATATTTATTCTGTTATATTCTAAAGAATGATGTTAGCAATAGAGTTAGGGACTCAAATGGCCGTCTTTTAAATAATTCATGGATTGAGTTGCACCAAATTGACAATGAGGGACTTCAGTGCACAATCAGGAAGCATTACGGGACCAGAAAAGCAATTTTCCATCACAAGTAAACTCTCCAACTCATTTCTATGTCATTCAAACACACGATGATTTAATGCAGTGTCTTTTTTTCTGTTTCATGCATAGAGGGGCTGATGCAAATGCCAATGACAAAGAAGGTCAGAGCCCTTCTACTCTTATTGCAGATTTGGGGTTCGGTGATGCCGAGTTGGTTGCTCTCCTCAAACATGGAAACAGATAGCCATTGTTTCGTCTTCCCAGTAAAGCAACTTTTTATTTAATTAAAATCTTACGCTCTTATTCCGGGACATGTCTCTAAACAAAGTGTACAGCTCTAAAATCCATTTCTTTCCCCTCAATCTCAACTTTTGTCCCTCAGCATCATCTTACTTGACACTCGAGTATCAGGCTGGTACACTCCTAATAGCTTGTACACAAGCACATATTATTTTCACCTCGGGGGTTTAAAACTTGGCAAAGGCATGTGAACATTCCTTCTGGCGAAGAAAGTTTACATGTTAACATTTGACCATGAATTACACAATGCCAGCGTTTCAAATTCTTGACCACGTCATGCATTTGGAAAGGGGGATCAGGTGGTGGGAACTGGGAAGTATACCATTTCAAATATCCACAAACACATTTATCCCATGCATTGGCAAATGGAGGTTGATTAGTGTCTGGATGATTGGTTGGTTTTGTGGGTTGTTATTTGGAGTTAATTTTTACGAATATTCAATGTCTGGCAGATGTTTTGAATATAAATTATTAAAGCTTTTTTTTAACACCCTACCTATTTATTGAATAAAAAAGAACGTACCTAGAGTAGGAGGACTAGACCAAAGCCTACTACGTATAATGAGATTTTAATTGCAACTATATTAATTATGGGGAGTGGGATGAACAAATGAAAGCCCACTTGAAAGTGAAGATTACATATTAATTAATGACATCAAATTTAATGATACCCACATAGTTCTAAACTTCTAATGGTGGGAGTTCGTAGTGATGGAAGTAGGGATTGACCGGGCCGGGACTGGGGCGTGACCGGGACTAAAAATTACCGGCCTGGGTTTGTACCGGGACCGGGACTGTGCTGAGCCTAAACAGTATCGGGTCGGGACTGTGCAGGGCCGGGCTTGAGCAATAAATTAAAAAAAAAATAGTGCGCTCGGGACCGGCCGGGTCGGGCCTAAAATAACGAGCCCGAAGCCTGCACTTATAGCCACCGGGCCGGGACTGGGTTGGGCTCCGAGCCTAAATAGTGTCGGGCCGGGCTGGGCCTAAACAGTGCCGGGACCGGGTCGGGCTGACTGCTGACCCGTCCTAGTCCATCCCTATGGAACTATGGAAGTGTGGTGGTATGCTAAAAAATCTGCTGCCTTGTTAATTTGATGCGGGATGTCGTTGGACACTGGTGATCTTTGACTAGTATTGCTCTCTAGTCTCTAGGGATTTTCTGAGAATGCCTTAATAAATGCCCAAGTCTTCCACCTCAAAAACAAATCTATTGTTTTATATAGTAAAACACAGTTATAAGCCTCTGACATGTCAATATCTTATTGGTTAACCAAAGTGAAATTATTATATTATGATAATTATTAAAACACTTAATTAGATCGATAATAGAAAAAACACTTAATTAGATCGATAATAGAAAAGTAGAGAGAAAATTGTGCGCAAGCATAGGAGAAAAAGTAGGATAAAGTAGCGTACGGATGATTAAGACTTGAGTCCATGCATTTAAAAATCGTTCAACAATAATAACTCTGCTAATGTGTAAAAATAATTATTAACTCCAACAAATAGCTAAAAGGGGAAATGGAAAACGTAGAAGGAATAAAAGTGGAGAAAAAACAACACGTTTGTGCATATCCACAAGGATATTATTGTCTTTTAATCTTTAATAATTTTCATAATATTATTATCATACACTGTTCATATAGAAAAAGAGAAAATAATATAAATATCCCAAATTTGAAGGAATGTGACATAAGTATCTCAAACTTCATATAAAAAGTTAAGGACATAATTTTAAAAACAAAAAACATTTATGTAAGTTGGGGTACACACCACAACCTTATTAAAGTTTGGAATATTTAAATTATATTCCCCTACAGAAAATCTAATTCTCTTTTAATCTTTAATTTTAGGTATTAAATGTTATCTCATTCCAATTCAATTTTTAGTGTTCAATTTTTATTTTTAATCTGTAATTTAGAATTTTCATTTATTGGTACAAGGTTTTATTGAAGTCATAACAAATAAAACTACGAATATTAATTTATAGAACAATATGAGTAGTTCTCATACCAAAACCCTTAGCAACAAAAAATGGTACGATACACATAGGTTAAGAATTTAGAAATAAGGATGTTTTACTTGGATTATTTTCAGCCACATACCAAACCAGAACAAACCAAATAAGAGTTAAGTAGATTAGATCGGACTTAAATAGATTAGATCACATCAAACTTTTGCAATTATAAAATACACATAGTCCAGACCAAACGAGTTCAAATAAGACTAGACTAGACCAGAAAATTTAAGTTCAATTAAAAAGTAAAAACATTCTAAAACTAATTAACTCATTATGTAATTGTGGAACATAAAATTTGAACTATATTTTTAAAAAGTTATAAGGAATTATGTTTAAATAAAACTCAAATTGTTTTGATAAATTAAAATTGAATATATAGTTGAATAAGTTATATACTCATCCCTCCGTCCCATTTCATCCGTCTTACTTTCCTTTTTTGGTTTTTCCAAAATAAGTGTCTCATTTTCTTTTTTGGAAAGAAATATGTGGACTACACCATTTTACTTTATTATACTCAAACTTAAGCACAATTTTTACTTTTTTCAACCAATTTATTAATAATCGTTTCAAGTCAAACTAAGACACATAAAATGGGACGGAGGTAGTATTAAACAAATTTATCTTATAATTATTTGAAAATTTTGGATTTAAATTATTTTTATTCTTTTGACAATATTATAAGCAATAGTTGTTGTCTCCCTAAAGATAAAATAATTTGCATGCTATTATCCTTTTTCAACTAATGTGCTCATAAATAGAGTATAGAAATAATAATTGTAAGTCTAAAACCAAAGTAATTATGACAAATAATATTAAATACTCAATATATTCTTTTTTCAACAAAAAATTGTTGTTTCCAATTTCGGTAAATAATTCAAAAACTTTATAAATATTTAATATTTTAAATATTAAAATACCGCTTAAATATTAAAATACCGCTTAAAATTGCGAAATTTTTTCTTTTCAACATGACACTACCGGGGCATGCCCGGGTGTTACACTAGTTTACGTAGTATAGTATTGCACCGACGGAGAATAGGGATAACAAAATTTAGTAGCATTGTAAAGGGCAAGTATGACATTCATATTGGTAGCCAAGTGAGTAGTCAGTAGTGTGTGACCGAAATAATTACCATTGGGACTTGTTTCTTATCATTAATCTAAGCATTTCTAATCTTCTATAAGTTACAAATAATAATTATACTAAACTTTTTTTTTTGAGGAAAATTGGCTTATATTAATATACCAGCAAAATCACAAATATCATCCAACCCGGAGAAAACAGACAAGGTACAAAGATAAAAAAATTCCTAGTGCGACTTAGGCATGGACCGGTTTCGGGTCGGTCCAAACTAGGCTTTTTGTTTGTGGGTAAACGTCCCAAACCGGCTCGGGATCGCATCGGGACCGGGCTAGGTCGGGCTCGGGTCGGGTTATTATTATTATTATTTATTTAGCTTTTCTAATTAATTCCACCCACCCACCCCCAACCCCCAAAACACCTAGCCCAACCCGCCTACCACCAAAACATTTGAAAAAAAAAATTTGGCCCGGACTGGCCGGGCCGGGCCGGTACCAAAGCAGGTGCTGCCAGGAACCGCCCCCAACAATCCCCCTGGGCCGGTCCTATGTATGCAAGGTCGTGAATCATCGCTCACCCACACCGGGTGTTCAGATCTATATGAGTCCAAAGGCGCAGACATGGACAGACCTTGCTGCAATTGATGTCTGCGGACAAAAGGGGACTGTGCATCGAGGGTAGATTGCTGCTCCACAGAAGGCAGGGGCGCCGTAGATGACAGAGGAGACAGGAGAAATCGCGTGCGCTGCTATAGAAGAATAGGCAGCAGAAGAAGAGGCCTCTGTAGTAGAAGAGGAAGGCGTTGCGGAAGAAGCAGACATGGTTGCGTAGGGAAACGTGCGCCTTAGAAGAGATGAGTAAGAAGAGATGAGTAGGGTAACGTAGCTCTGATACCATATGCAAGGTCGTAAATCATCGCTCACCCACACCGGGTGTTCCGATGTATACTTGTATAATTATAATAATATCAAAAGTAATGAAATTACAAATATGTCCCATACTATCTACTATTACTATGCTCGGAACCGGTCCCGGTCCCGCACAGTGGCGGTTCGGTCCGGTACCAGACCACCCTTAGTGCGACTAGGGGTGGCCCGGGCCCAGGTCGGGCTGGGGCGGGCTCCATTTCAAAATTACTCAAGCCTGGTACCGGCCCGTGTTAGAACTGGGACCGAGTATGATTTTTTTTCTTTAAAAGGCTTTTTCGAATTAATTTCAACCTCCCCCCACCCCATCCCCCAACCCCTTCTAAACCACCTAGTCCAACTCGCCCACAAATATAGCAGCCCAAAAAAATTAAAAAAAGTATTTGGGCCCGGACCGCTGGGCTCGGACCGGCCGGGTCGATCCATCATTTAGGAAGCCTGTAGCCCGCCAGAAAAATGCTTTGGTTCGGGCCTCGGTCCCGGTCTCGGCTGGTCAGGTTGGTACTGCACAGTAACGGGTCGGGTCGAGTCCCGGGTCGGGCCGAACCGGCCCAATCCAACTCTAAGTGAGACCATATGCTCTTGGACAAGACTTAGAATCAGTCGTATCAAAAGAAGTCTCTTGATTCGCTAATCCCCACTTGGACAATTGTAAGTCAACAATTATTGATCAAGATTCTCTATCCCTTGTCCTCTCCTGACTTTGACCCATAACAAATATATAAACCAAATAAACGTCATCTCGGGGATAAACAACCCGACAAAAACAGAAATTAAAATCCTTATACGTACGAATAACAACAAAAACAAAGAACTTAAATTATACTAAACCATGGTGTTACTAGTCATTGTAACGTTACTATAACACAGTGAGTGAGGTTATATTAGTATATGGGTATAGTAGTCTTCTAGCCTGTTTTTAGTCTCATTTTTAGTCTCTTTTTTGTCCATAACTCTTTTGATTAATATTTTAGGACATCTTTGCTAAACTATTACTAATAGCAAATTCATGAATAAAAATGGGACTATAAGTTACTATGAGTAAGTTCTATAGTCACTATAATGTAATATTTGAATAGAATTATAGTCAATAAAGTTACTAGAATCATTTTTTTTATCAATGATTTTTGTTTTGGTTATATATTTAGAATTATTTCATACTAGGTTTCAAGCCCGTGCGATGCACGTGTAGTACATAATTTAGCTAATTTTAAATTTGATATTTTCGAAATCATATATAATGTGATGCAAAAGAAAAATAAACTCAATCTAAATATAAAGTTCGTTTAATAATGCTTGCAGTAAAATTAGCGAAATCAACTTATTTTACTGAAATTGATTAAATATATGTTGAATCACTTGAGTGGGCTGAATAGGCAGAATCTCTCGAATCATGAAAAAAATTTAAAAATATTTCACTTGTAAAATAAAGAGACAATTATATGGAAAATATTTAAAATGTTCTTTTACATAAGAATCTCAACTAAACACAATTGTGGTGAACCAATTTTAAAGAATTCACAAAGAAGCTTCTTAATTAATC